CCCCAAAACCCCAAAACCCCAAAACCCCAAAACCCCATTTAGAATATTTTAGGTTGAACATAATGGGCGCAAAGTACAATTTTAGAATATTCCTTGGCTCATATCCTGAACACTTATGAAGCACTTCTGTTTCCTTGAGCCCGCCTTTTTCTGCTCATTTTCTATTGTCTTGGTTAAGAAATCGCATTTTGGGATGTTAATGTTTCTGTGAATTATTTGCAAAGTTCTTACCTTATTTTCTCCTTTAAAGTAGGTAACTTAGGCTTAAGTTTAGGAGACGGCTCCTTTTCAACTGTGTGGTGAAGATTCTGATCTGTCTCCTGAGTGCTGATAAAGGAGAAATTAATATTTTTAGAACTTTGTGGAGACTATAATGAGTTAGCAAGTAGCACATACTGTCAGGAAGTTCAAACTTTTCAAAGATTTGAGCTGCTCAATATGCTTCTCACTGCTTGAAAGTCCAGATAGACTATGCAATCATAAATTCTTGGAACTCTTAGGTATATTAACACTTGAAGCATTGATGCTTAGGTCTTCTCCACTACATGCTTTCTGGATATTTCTGCTTGTAGCATGAGCAAGTTCAGAATTCTTCTTGTTAATGAAGTAGTCAGGGCCAAGTCCTAAATGATCAGTATGCGCGAGATACTATTGTAATGATTATTTATATCTTTCGATATCTTTTCTGAAGCTGACTTTATTCTTGGTGTAATTTGATCACTCCTGCGTTAACTCTAAACATCATTGCTAGATCCTACGCTTTATGCTCTTGGTGGGTGGAGGTCTTCAAGGAGGCTTTTTGTCAGTTTTCTTAATGATCTTCATAGAGTTCGTATTGTGCCTTTCCATCCTAAAATTTCATGGATCTTAGAACTTACTTTCAGAGAGAAATCTTATGCTTCTTCTTGGTAGTATCTGTGTATAAAATTATAGTAGAGGTCTAGAATGTTGGGGTAAAGAATCTTGACACTTCTGAAGAAATCTGAGGTTTTTCACTTTTTACACATTAATTTTATAAAGTTTCCAAAGTTGTGTTGGAAAGGTAAGCAGGGCTATTTGGCTCTACAAATTTTCATACCTGTGTGCTTGGTTTTTAGGTTTAGAACTAAGCTCACACTCCTTTTGTGGTTACCTTTGTTGAGCAAACTTAAGATTCCTGGACTTCTTTTAGTCTTAAGAGCCTTCCCTTCCTGATTTATAGCTACAAAATTAGATACAATGGGTTTACTCTTGTGCAACCAGTCAATTGTCCAGAGGGGTTCGACTTTATTTAGACCCTTGCACAATTTCAGGTAAAGAGATTCCGTTGTTGGATAGGAATTCTTGGTGTTCTTTCATCTTATAGGCCTCCCAGAGCTTTTCCAGCTCCTCTTCATCTTCGGTAGCTATGAAATTTATACTCTTGATTTACCATCCAGTTCATATTGATGACTAAACCTGAAATTTATTTGCTTCTTCCTATCACTTTCTAAATTAGCAGCGTTCAAGATTTCTTCCTCTTTTTGCTTTTTCTGGATCTTAATCCTCTTTCTAAACATCTTCTCTTTAATTTCAGCTCCTTCAACGATTTTTCGATGTGAAAGATTGGTTATAAAGAGTCTATTGTTTGCAAATCAAGAAACAGTAACTTTCCTTCAGAGGAGATACACTCAACAGTGTATAAAGCCTTATAAGGCTTTTTAAGAGAGTCGAGGACACCGAATACTTCGCGCTCTCCTAACGAGGAGACCTTGATGGTATCGATGATCTCCGGCATTTTTGAGATTGGGCCGAATCTTGTGTCATAGCATCCTCTATAGATTCTGACTTTTTTCAGAAGCTGAAAGTCGCCTTGAATAACAACATAGGCACCAAGAGCCTTCGCCCCTTGGTGGAGGACTATGTTACCTCTTGAATAACTTCTTGGTTGAAATCTCTGACCTATTTTGATGATGTTTCTAGTTGAAAGTTTGTTCAAGAAAGATCAGTTTTGCAAAAATGTGACCATTTCCTGTAAGCTATGGATGTCTAATTTCCCATCCTCTTGCTTATCTTGGCCTATAAATTAGAGATAAGAGCTTACATGAGATTATAAGGTCTTCATTGCTGACTCCTCAGTTTTGGAAGTGCTTTTGAATGTCCGTGAGGTTGGAAATTACGTTTATCTTCGAGCCATTTTTGGTCTTATGCATTATTATTCTACTAGTTTATTTCAAAATTATGATCTCCAAAAGGGGTTTTGGGGTTTTGGGGTTTTGGGG